GATATTACTACTTCTTCTACTTCCTGTTATCTTCTTCATCATCGTCTTTTTCACCAGTAGAAACAGACGGTTGTTGATCACGTGACTCCTGTGATGTGAAAAAAGTGTTTCCATTGCAGTTTTGCGAAAAACATCAATTTCGAAACGGCTGAAAAACCACCTCATCCTAGTGCAAAAACATTTTGTCGAAAAACGTAATTTTTTTCCTAAACTGATGTGTTTCCATTGAGCAAATTTATTTTCGAAATTTTAATTTGCACATTTTCATGGTCAATGGAAACACAGCTAAGAAAACATAGTAAACATATCAGATAAATAAATGAGTTTTGTTCCAAAAAAGTTAGCAGTGTTTCTGGATAATGCTTCCTATTTGCACGATAGAGCTTTAAGCAGCATATTCACAAAATGTGCTGCTGTGAAGAGCTTATGGACTTAAGAGATTTTTTTTACACGACATCCCACCTTGTTCAGAACTGAGGTTGCAGAAGGAGGATTTAATACTAAGCTGTTATAAAATCACACATTTACACTTCGTACAGATTAGATATCTTTTCCAGCCTTTTAGGCCAACATGATTTTGTTTGCATAAAACAAACAAAACATCTGTTGTTCATTTTTCTAAACATTCTCCTGTGTGAGGTGAGGTGGGGGTCTTTAGTGACTAGTTGGTCCAAAAAGGTAATATTTTAGGTGAGGGTGGTGTTTATAGCTTTCACCAGGCAGGACATTCAGGCCTGTAGCCAAACCTGATGAAACCAGTTCAGCTGGTTCTGAGTGTCTGTAACTGTAGTCACCATGCTACTTTACTTTTTATTATTATTATTGTTGTTATTATTATTATTATTATTAGCACTGAATGAGCTTCATTTCAAACTGGAATTGCTCAAACGAGCAGCTCCAGGTATAAAACTTGCACTTTTCTCAGTTCCCAAACTGTCTGTAGGATCGGCAGATTTCTAGAAGCAAAATGATGTTTGTTAAATAATTCTTATGATTTTATTGTTTCTGTAGGTTTTTGGACTGAATATAATGAAACATTCTTGTTGTTTGAGAAGATAAATTTGGTAAATTGTTGGTCGTAGCCACGCCCTCGATCCTAATTAGTGAAACCCCATGGCTTTCTGAGGTCGTGACATCACATCGAGCCGACCGTGTCGGAGGTTTGCTTCATTTAACGTCTGTTACAAACGGTTCCTCGTGACGCTCACCAGCAACGATCTGCTCAGAGCATTCCCCTTAATGCTTTTATCTGCCCAAACACGTTATTACGGAGCCCCCGAGGGGACATGGGGGATTTGTTTACTTTTTTCTTTCCCACGCAAAAGTGTTGCGTTACCTCGCAGTACCTTTTGCGTTCCCTCGCAAAAGTCGTTAAACACTGTTGTGCTGCTGGTTTATTAACAAACTCACATGTTCACCATTAGCGAGTTAGCTACAGCTTTAATTCAGCTTCAGAATGAATACAGTGGAGAAAATCAGTATTTAGTCAGTCACTAATTGTGCAAGTTCTCCCACTTAAAAAGATGAGAGAGGCCTGTAATTGACATCATAGGTAGACCTCAACTATGAGAGACAAAATGTGAAAAAAAA